GAGAGAGAGAGAGAGAGAGAGAGAGAGAGAGAGAGATATGTCTCTACAAGCTCATTGATAAGCAGTCAGATGGGTCAGTTTGAAATGCATCAGTAACTCATGCCACAAAATCAACGAACCATGTGGAGCAAAGTAAAAATTTGTGCAAGAGAAGAAAAAAGGTGCAATAACATATGTTCGAGAAGTAATTAACAAAAAAAGATCTGAATAAGTCATCCTCTGTGTATAACTAAGTAAAGTTGTTACAACATTGTACTAAAGCAAATGTTCAAAAGAAATGTTGACGAAATAAAGAAACTAGAATGTATGTAAAATGCAGAAGCTACAAACTCTAAAAAATTGTATAAGCTACAAACTCTAAAAAATTGTAGAAGCTACAAACACTTAACCACAGAATAGAAAACATGAAAAATGTGGAAGAAGGATACTTACAACTAGAAGTCCCTCTAGAAGAGATGATTTGATCTGACAAACTTCATCACAGGCTGTTGAATTGGCTGATGCATTTCCTGAAGCACTTTCAGCAAGAAACCTTTGCAATTCTCGATAAGAAGGATATTGGATTGACTTACTGGGATCTGAAACATATAGAACTCCATATTTTGCCCCAGACTGATCCATGGAACTAATAAGCTCGGAAAAAATTTTACCTGCACATCCAATTGAAAGATTTGCATGACAGTGTCCTAGACCAGTGTGACTTGTGTACACAACCAAAGAACTTCCATGATATATATGCATTATTACATACTAACAGTTTCAACTTAACATACCCTCCGAAAGTGTTTGGTCAAGTTCTTTGGAAGAACCAGATCCTTTATGGCAGAACACAACCAAATCTACTTCTCCATTGGATCTCTTCTCCGTCCTTGAACCAAGATAATCCTGCACAATGTTATTGAGGAAAAAAGATATCAGATCTTTTTCATAGACCTAAAAAGTATATAGTATAACACATGATTGTCAAATTGATTTACATGGAACGATTGCAGGTTTGCAAGCTTTTGAAAATTTTCACCCTCAATAGAGCACGACTCCAAGAAAGCAACGTTACTGAATCCAAAATCCTGCCCACAAGTCTCCGAAATCCCTGACACCAAAGAATTTTCCATGGCATCCTCCTCTGGTACAGCAACATATGGGAAGGCCATTGAGAAATTGGATCCTGTGAAAGAACCCTGTTCAAGACCATGGAATTGTAGCTATTAAAGCAGAAATTTTCATCATAAATTTCAACCAAAAGTCCGATGCAATTAGGCAAACTCTATACTTACTTTGAGCAAGTCCACAAGAGCTGGATCTGCATGTTTGTTTGCAGGAATATCTGAAGATTGTAACTAAGAAAACAAAGGTATTAATTTAGTAGCACAAGATATAGACACAACAGCAAAAGGTTTTCACTG